GTCATTCATTTTTTCTCCTCTCATCAAAACAAAAGTGTTTGCAAATGTAACAATGTTTTAGAAAGATTTTGTGTTAGTGATGGTCGAGAAACACAATTTAATTTGAATATCCAAATGGTACATTTCAAAATCTCTGGCCGTAAAGATAACGATTTCTAATGGTTGGTTGATAAACGCCATTGTATCAGCCCGATCCAACATCGACCCCTTTGTGCTTGAAGAAGTCCTTAGCTTCTGTAATATCCTGCATCCAATGCAATAGACGAGAAAGAAACTGAATTAGCAAAGAGATTAAAGGAATGCCTCTGTGATTCTAAATTCCGAACTGAGCAGAAAGAAAACAAGACTAGATTTAGCAAACAAAGAGCTTGTCTGGAAAAATACCTTCTGCAAGAGAATTGCTTCTTGAGGACAAGTAGGAAATTGCATTAGCCCGATTCCAACCATTAATAGACCATAGCATCCGAGGGATACGACAAAGTAGATCGGTAGCTGGATAACCAAAAACCGTCAACATAACCGAATCAGAAGAAACAATCCTAATTTCAAAAGAGCAAAAAGAGAAGAGATCTGTTTGTTACTAACCAACCATGTATGGCTTCGAGGAACTATTGCAGCTTGCAAAAGACCAATCCAAAAGGCAGAGATTGCCACCAACAGGCTCAAGATCTTTACAATATGCTTCATTTGTTCTTCAAAATTCAAAAGATTATGGAAAAGTTTATAAATACAAAGAAATGCAGATATGATTGATTGATGTATACTCATACAACTTGTAGAGAAGAAATCACTCTACTAATAAATCAATGAACTTTTTTCACAATTTCATTAAGATAACGTTAAACATGATCAACGAATAATCCTCAAGATTTAACAATATAACATCTCCAAAACTGGTAAAATAAAAACTCAAAACATGAGGAACTCAACATAATTGCAAAACCTGAATCCTAAATAATTTCAACTATCCATCAACAGATCAAGAAAGACACAGAACCAAACAGATAAATGCAACTTTTAAATCTAAAATCCAAAATCCAAACAGTTGAAAATCTAGGAAAATACGGTCACATAGAAACTAGATAGATCTGTTTCGAAATCCAGAGAATTCCCAAGCATCGAAACCCTTAATCGTATAGATCAGTTGATGCTTAATTTTAAAACGAAGAGAAGAGAAGAGTAACGAACCAGGAGGGAACAAATTCGGAAAATTTGTAAGCTCTGGGATTGGAATTCCTCGGATCAAAATTTCTTTAGGGAAGCAAACCGCTTGATACCGTCATCTCAAATCTGGACCGTAACAAACCGGACTAAACCGAATTGAACTAAAAAGTAAAAATTGATTTTGAATTTGGTTATCCTCATCAGATCTGTTTTTC